CCAGTGGGCCTGTGGGCCCCTCGCTTGACGGCCCAGCGTCGAGGACTTGGGCAAAGACTGCTCGGTTTATATGACCGTCCTCTGGAGTCTAGGTGCACCGGCACTCGGCATTCGTGGGTGCTGCCCATGGTCAGATGGGTCAATGGCTGATCCGGGCTCATCGTGTGCTCGGGCGCGGCACAATATATGCGGAGGGGTGTTCTCCTGAAGATTGGTCTGCCTTGTAAATAGTTACAACCTTTGGGGGTCATTTGATCGCAGTCTGTTTCTCTCTTTCGCCCTTGTTTTGTATATTGTGTCAATAGTTGTTGCGTTGATGTTGGAGGCCGACGCATTGCGTTGTATATGTATGTTGGTCAGCTGGGACGGCTGAGTTTCACAAAGGGGGGGGGGGGGGGTGATGTAGGGACGTAAATAGCGTCCCTGCGGCATAAAAGCCAATACTGTATGACTGCGGTGAGGAGGTGCACTTCCTTACCTTCACTTACCTGTCGATGGCGGACCGAAGGACCCTGTCATGCTGGCTCGGGTTCCATCGGAAGAGTCAGAGGAAGTGGCGTGGCAAGAGGCGGAGTGGGGCCACGCTCGGGGAGGGGTAAGGGAAGTGGCGGAGTCTTCGGGCAGTCGAGTGGGAGAGCTGGCGGTGTGTGGTCACATCGGGGGAAACGGGAGACTGACGGTAGTAGGGACTCAGTGGGGTAGGGATCCCCTCTCCCTTGTTGGGGTCTAGAATAGCCAGTTTTGGGATTGTAACTCTGTTAATGATAATAAAGTGTGGTGCCTCCTATCTCAGTGTGTGCCTCGTCAGACACGCACTACACACGTACTAAGACACACAACCACAGCACATGCGAAGAATTGCTGAAGCAAAAAAAACACATTCGTCCATCACGCCGTATGTGTGTGGAAAGGAAAGATATATAATAGGCAACGTTTTGGGCAATGGCCCATCTTCATGGCACACAGACAGAGAGAGGCCAGAACGATGGAGTGGATGATAATAATAGGAGGCTATAATACAGGTTTTGTTTTGGGTCATATCGCGTAAATATATAAATGTGTCGTTAAAACCGCCACCACCCAACACAGCCAATCAGTAAGGTTTGTCACGTAAACAGAACATGCCAATTCGTTACTAGTGAAGTGATGCACTTCACAGACACTAGAATGGGAGGCACTCTGTTTATTAAGACCCTCACAGGCACAGGGAATAACTATACTTGGTCAGGACAGCAACAGGCTGCCTGAAAAACAACGCTGAAGATGATGACAAAGACAATGACAAAGACTTGCGAATCTCCACAGATGTTCACTCCAACAACAACCCTGAGTCCTCCACGGGGTCCCCCTTTTATTCCCCTAGCGCAGCCTCGCTCCCCCTCGGCCACGCCCCCCTTCCAGAACCTACCAGAAGGTTCTCAGGCTTCCTCTCACGTACCCCTTCTCTCACCTTATCCCGCATCCTTTCCTCCCGCCTATTCCCTGACCTGCTGGCCGACAGGGCTGCTACAGCAGCAGGTACTCTTTTTGCCAGCAACTCGCGCTACCCACAATAGTGATCCATTCCATGTCACTACATCACCCCCCCCCCCCCGAAAAAAAACAGCCATCCCGGTTGACTTCCATACCCCGCACAGCGGAACAATGAACCCAACAACAACAATCATTATCTCACTGGCGAGGCAATCAACAAGAACAATAACAATAACTAACCAGAAGAATAACAATCGCGAATGCACGGCGATAACCTGGCCCCCAGGAATGTAAAACCCCCAACAACCATCCGCGTGCCGCAGCCCGCGAGCACAGGAAGGACCTCAAGTCAACCGACGGCCACGGCCCGGCTCGCGTCTGCGACTACCCGCCCGACGGAGATAACGCAGGTCATCTAAACGGAAAAGTTTTGGAACGGATCCTCGTCGCCCAGCCCCCAGGCAGAACGAGAATGGGTTTCCTGGGGACCCCAGGGACGGTTTGTAAATGGCCCAATGGGCGCGGCACCTCCTGGGAAGAAGATGAAGGGACAGAAGAGGAAGTGGGAGGCGATCGTTCCATCCTTCCCGATCCTCCTGTGGACGGCGCTGTTGGTGGCTCCGTGGGTGTCAGGCGCTGGGTGGGGAGCGGTAGTGTAGTGGTTAGCACTCTGCACTACGAACCTGGCGACCCGAGTTCAATTCCCACTCACGGCTAACACCAGTGACGATTATCTGAACCGGCCCCGGGCCTCCACTAGGTCGACTCAACCTCAAATGAGTACCTGGTGCGGTGTACAAACATCGACACTGGGGAGACAAAGGCGGTCGGGCGTGGTGCTGGCCAGCCACCCCCTCGTGTACCGTTCTGGCCTTTATAGGTGCTCGCTAACAGCACTTGCCCCTACAGTCTGTTAAGGCTACACGGGGGATCTTTGTTTTTCTTGCCAGGTGCTGGACGCCTGTGGGCAGAAGAATAGAATCCCGCTGAGGCGCAACCTTTGCGACCGTACGGCCGGGTTCGTCGGACACCTCAGACACCCGGCCTTCTGGTAGTGGAAATGAAACGAACTCACAAGGTCGAAAATATAGTTTCAGACGTGACGGGTGCACGTACCAATGTCTGCGACCAACCTGGAACCGCATGCAATGCGGCCTCTTGACATCAACCACCTCAACCGCGTCCTGCCATGGCTTATGTAATTTAGAGGACGTACCTAGGGGCAATGCAGCCATGCCTTGTCCCCAGGTTTCCATGAGTTTCCGGATTCTCGAAGCCCGAACAACTTTTCATTTACGGCCTCCCGTTTGGCCGAATTTCCCCGCAATGCCTCTCGAGCTTCTGTCAATCGCTAAGGGTAAGGTGCATGTGTGTAGGCATCTCAACCTTATTTCTGGTCGGCTCCATGTCTAACTGAGCCTCCATGGGGGGGAGTCACATTCACCTCCCGTGCATGAGAAAAAATGGAGAGAACCTGGTGGAGGCGTGAGGGGCCATCCTATACGCAGCGAGAACACCTGGAACGTGTAAGTCCCAATCAGGCTGCGCCTCGTTGACCTGTTGGCTCAGCATGGTTGTGAGAGTCCTCAACCGAGTACCCGGAGCGGTATGTAAACATCACCACCCCAACCCCTCGTGTGCCGTGCTGGCCTTCATAAGTGGTACTCGCTAGCAGCGCTTGTCCCAACAATTCATCACTAGTACAGCACACCGGTGTGTTGGAGAGCAAAGCCACAACATTTACAATCTGAGTAATTGCAACTCGCTTCATCAGGCGAAGCCAGATTTGTGGAGAAATCCTGCAGTTTCGTTCCTTACTTTACTTTACCCCATAGGGCCACATGCGAAACACATTTTTTAAGTGTTTTTTGACGAATAGTTTTAATTGTTTTCAAATGTAATTATCATTAGGCACCACGGTGTAAAGCGCAGTCCCCCACTCTTACCATCCACGCTGTCTCTCCTGGCCGATGTGCTACGTAGAAGGGGCATTGCCCAAAACGTCGCCGAGTACATGTGTTGCTTTTAGGGCCTGCACAGCGTCATAATTGACGGATGCGTTGCATTTTTTTTGTTGAACGAGCTTTTGCACCGCTTGCCAACGCAGCCGAGTCACCAAACGATTTGTCTAAGGCAGCGCTCTTCACTAAGTCGACTCGGCCCATCGTCTCTACGCCGTTCACGAGTTGTCCTTTCCACGACAAGAATCTCGGGCCGGCTTCGTTGTGGAAGCCAACAGTGGTTGTCTTACGGCGGTGTTCTTCGCGGATTTTCAGAGGGGGCGGCCACTTTCGCCGATAAGACATCATCAGTGTAAGGGGCCGCCACACATTTGGAACCATTGGGGGTTTGACAGCAGCACGATGATGATGGGGGCGGGGGGGGGGTAACTTTTGTTTATTGTCTGGAGCCACAAGTCAGGGGTCGCACTAAAGGCCACCAGGGGCCCGCCAGTGGCCCGCGAGCCTCGCAATGAAGAACGCCGGGCTAAGTGAAATAAAATCATAACAATGGAGCAAACGTCTCAAGGCACCGATTCACAGTTTTGCACGCCTTCAAGTGGCACAAGAACACAATTTATTGTACTGACAGCTTACCGAACGTTTAGGCACATTGGATAACGCAACTCTAAAGTGTCATACTGTCCTACTCACTGACGTGGATCACAACCTGGGAACGTGATACAGGGTGACATTACCCCATCTTGAGTGTAGATACACGGGGATGTACAAGACTTCACTGCAGGGTTAACGATGCCAAATATAACGTCTCGTAGGCCAGGAAAGGGCATCTTTCACAAGTCAACTCGTTACACACGTACACATGGACAATTCTGGTAGGCATTCAAGCAAATTGTAGACGCACATATATATCGATCACATTATATGTGCATTGAAACCTCATTACACGTGTGATTAATACAAACCAGTACACGATAGGGCAATACGGCATCTAGCCACCAATATGTTCTTTTTTTAAAGTGCTTTTCAGGTAACACTAAATAATGATGATGACAGTTCATATAACTCTACTGGACATCTGTGACAACTGGATATCTGTGAAAAAGAGCTTTATAGCTCATCGGATTCCTCCAGTATGAATAAATATTATGAACTCGAATCTCCCTGATTATCTTTTCTTATTGTAATTAACTTTTACTGAATACTCACGTTAAAGTTTGTTTGGGTTAATGCGTACGATGAAACTTTACACGTGCATACACAATTTAAAGTTATAGATAATGAGAAGGGAAAGCGTATACCGAGTGATGTATAACGTACGTGTTGAACGGTTGGGTGGAGTGGTGGCACAGTGGTTAGCGCACTGCACTATGAGCCCGGAGACCTTAGTCTGATTGTCGTTCACGGCTAACATCAGTGGCACACGGTCATTCGAACGGTTCTTGGGCTCCCATTAACCAACACGGACCGACCAGCGTATAGCGAAGGGCTGAAACTTATCATCGTAATTATAATTGTTACTACTGAAATTACTATCAATATAAGTACATATTTATCTTTTATTTAAGCTGGCATGTAAATGTACATCTACACGAGATATATTAAATCAATAGACTGGAAATGGGTTATATTTAATCAGTGAAATCAAATAGCATTCGACCGAACACCCACTGGGTGTGTGTCGAATCAAGCAGAGTTTGTTCAAACAAGACAAACCCTGGACTGCTTTCAACATCACTGATTCTCATCAGCAGGCAATGGCCACTTTTAAAAACCGATGCTACCGGGTAACCCGATGTCAAGGGCAAGATCACAAACACAACGGTGGCCGACGTTCAAGCGAGGGCAAAGCGCGGCGTGATGCCCCCTCGTGATAAATGTACACGTGGAGGGAGAAGTCGCACATCAGAAGCCTACAAGTGAGAGTGGGAAAGAGGTGCGAATGGTGGTAGCAGGGTGAGTGAGTGAGAGAGAGATACATTTGATCCAGCAGCCCCGCCACTATTTGCCGACGTTTTCCATCATCTTGCGGTTGAAGTCCGCCTGATTCGACAGCTTCTCGACCCTGGCCATCTGCAGCATCTCGCGAAGAATGTGAAAGGTGAGGTCCAGGGACAGCGGCGGTTCCTCCGCCCTCATTTCTCTCCTCCTCGTCATCTCCCCGTCTTCGCGCTCCGCCGCCTCGTCCACCTCTTCCACCGCTGACGGCGACGAGGAGAGCGACTCGGACGCCGGCAGGACAGCACGGGCATCCCTGCTGGCCATGCTTAGCGCCACCAGCACGGCCGCCAGCTCTCGGGGAAAGGACGACGATGACGAGGAGTGGCTGGAAGAGGAGGACGAGGGTGGCTGGTTCGGCGTGGGCAGGAAGAGCGGAGTGCGTCCACGATGGAGGTGCCAGGCAAGACCCGGAGCCCCGGAGCGGCTGTGAACCGTGCATGGCAAGCACGCCACAAGCAGCAGCAGCAGCAGCAGCAGGATCACGGCTCGCTGGGTATGCATCGTGGTGCCTTCCCCTCCGCGAACGCTGCCTGGGTAAAGCAACAAACGAGTGAACGAGCGGATGAAACGAATTGAACGAAACGGCTGAATGTTCGCGGGAAGTACAAGAACAACGAACCGTCTTCTTGTTTCTTTCGGTAAAGTCACGTAGAATGCAAATAAAATAATACAAATAAAACATAATAAAATAAACAACGAACCGCTTTCTGGGTCGGGTACAGACGCAACGTTTTGTCTCAGTGCTCGATCTTAGGGACGGCAAACTCACCCCACCGTGAATCGGTTTCAAATGAAAGCGACGTTCGCCTGTGGATTCGGTCATCCTTGGAAAGTAGAGCGAATACGAATCTTGACTTAAAGCTTTCGTGACTGCAGGAATTCATATTCTTTGGGGTCTTTCGGTAAAGTCACGTGGATAGGTTATTTTTTTGTTATTTTCTTTTAACTTATCTACGTGACTTTACCGAAAGACCCAAGAATATAGAGCGAATATGTAATTATAATAAATTGACATATTATGTAATTAGTGGGGGCCCTAGCCAGTTGTTGAAATCCCACATTCTTATGGCAGGGCCCAGTACTTCTAAAGGGTGACCACGGTTGACTTGCCATTTTCTTCGACCGTGGAGCGACGACCGGCTGAGATCACTCTGGCCAAGATTTGAAACTACAAGCTTCCAATTGTAGGAACAATTTCTCATTCACAACGCTGCCCACATACGATAATAATAATAATACTACTACAGTAAATAAGGAATATTCCACAATCGTGAAGAATATCAAATATTACAAACAAGCATGATGTAGAACACACGCGCGTGCAGTCGAGAGTACATTTGCATGCATATATACATTTACACGGCATAGCAGGCAGACATCGATGGACTTAACAGCAAAGCACGCTGCGTGTTTTGTTGTTGTAAATTCACTGTGCTCGCATCACAGACAGCCGTGTGTCTCGGCCTGAACATAATAATAAGAGAAAAAAAAACACGGCACGTGTATCACCCACTGCCGTTCGGCAACACCAAAAAAAACCACACGTTGTGTCACGGAAAAAAAAGAAGATAACTTTTATTGTGTTATTTCTTTAGTGGGGCAACGTTTCATCGAGGAAATGCCACACCGTGTCCCTGTGCCCACTGCTCACGCGTTTCGCTGGACTCTGCTCGCTCGACGGTTCGCTCGCAGCCCTCCTTGCAGCAGAGAGGCGTCGCAAAGAGGCGTTCGTGGCTGAGCTCGCACGCCTCCTCCGTGCGTGCTCCTGAGACTCCACGGGACCGCGTCGGTTGCGGCCGGGGTTGTCGCGCGCGCGCTCTGCGGCGGGGGGGTTGCCCCCCCCCCCTTTTATAGCTCGCAACCAGAGCCGGCAGGCACTCCGACTCCAACCAACTACCACCCACACCGCCGCCCACCCAAAGCCCTCCCTCCCTCCCTTACTACCCCCACCACTCCTTCTGCAAATCTCCAATTCTCGTCCTTCAATAGTACGAAAGGAGAAGAGAAACAAATCAGCTGCGTAAAAATGTGAATGTGATAAATCCCCGGTAACGGAACTACACGACACACACACACACACCGCGCGGTACCATATTGCGTTGAAGGCTGCGATGGCAACGGGAAGTCTCAACGTATCGCACCGACACGCTCTGTCGGAGAACGTGGAGAAGACATGAAAAGCCCAAAGGAAACGTCGTGAGAATATTATTGTGTTATTTTATTTTATCAATTTATTATTTTATTCTCATTCTACGTGGTGACTTTACCGAAAGAACCAAAGAAGATGAATCCTTGCAGTCACGAAAGCTTTAAATCGAAATTTAACTCTTACGTTTTCTTAGCTCTTTCGGTAAAGTCACGTTGAAGGGAAACAATAAAATAATAAAATATATAAAACAATAAAAAAATTCTCACGACGTTTCGACCATAACACAAACAAATTCTCACGACGTTTCGACCATAACACAAACGGTCGTTATGGTCGAAACGTCTTGAGAATTTTTATTGTTTTATATATATTTTATTATTATTAAGCTTTAAATCAAAATTGAACTCTTACGTTGTTGTTTTTTTACGTTTTTCTGTGCGCGTGTGTGTGTGTTGGATCTCTTTCGCGCCGTACGTAGCCAAACGCGCGCTCATCGGAGGTGCGTGGGAAGGACGGCAAACTGAACACACGTGAACATTATTTCTCAATAAAATTAAAATAGTTTTCCATTAAGCGTGCGCTCGTCACGTTCCGTGTCTCGTTATTCCGTTGCCGTGGAATCGGCCGCCGTGTTTTTGACATTGACAGCTGCGTGCACAAAGATAAAGTGCTCCCCCCACCCACCCCCCCTATAGCCTTAACAGACTGTTGTGGCAAGTGCTGTTAGCGAGCGTGCAAAGACAAAGATGCCCCGCATAACCTATACCAGACTGTTGGGGCAAGTGCTGTTAGCGAGCGTGCAAAGACAAAGATGCACCGCATAACCTATACCAGACTGTTGGGGCAAGTGCTGTTAGCGAGCGCCTATGAAGGCCACGGCTACACACACACACAAACATTGTACACACAAACACTCTCAGACGCAATCACAAACACACATCGGCACACACACACGCGCGCGCGCTCGCTCTCATCACGCGAACGCACTGTGCTACCGTAAGGTAATTGGCCCATGCCAGTCATCTAATTGAGATGCCATTGCAATCGTGGTCCAGACACGGCGGTGATTTCTCTTGATTTGAACAAAGAGTGTCACTGTTAGCCCGAACCACCGTGCGCTGTGTCCGTGTCCCACCTAACTCAAGGCACCACACACAGCACGGTACCCCGGTCGCATCGTACCGCGGGGGGATTCAGTCACCTGCGTTCGCATGCACGCACGTGCGTTGAACTTCTTTCGCACCGTACGTAGCCAACCGTGCTCATCGGAGGTTGCGGGGAAAAGGACAACAGACCAACACACGCAAAAGCGCAGTTACGAACAAATGAGCTATCAATCAAAATGTCAAAGTGCATAGGCTCCGGTGGTGGCTTCCCAATATCGGAAGGGAGAGCGTTCCAGACGGCCTCGGAAGCGCGCCTGAAAGCGCTGAGCGATGATGCGGTAGCCGCCGTCTTTGTTCGATGACGACCCAAAATCGGCTGCCGCTGCGAGGATGAGCGGAGTGCGCGTGGTGGTTTACGCTCCTTGACGAGATCAGCGAGCTGTTGTGGTTCATCTGTGGCAAGCACTCTTTTTTTGCGTAATGAGTGCGACCTTCTAAAAATAACACCGGCAAGCCTACCATCGCCAGCCATGATCTATCCCCCGCTGGATGAACGCCTCCCGACGACGGCCTCGCGGTGGAGCAATCCGTGCGATCTCCTCCGCCGCGCGAGTTGATCTCATCACTCCGTCTCCGCGGTAGATGTCCCCGCCGTGCGTGTGTGTGTGTCATGAGTGCGACCTTGCAACGTATTCGTTCGAAAAGCAGTGCGGCAATCATTTGCCTCCCTAACTGTGCAGAATTGTGTTGTCTCCCTCGTACGAATGGAGAGAGAACAACAACAACAACAAAATCCCAAGCAAATACTCGTCTGCAAAACTCGGTGAGACTTCCCCAGGATAAATGCGCAGCCCTGTAATTGCTTGCTCATGCCACTGCTGGAGGAAGTGCTTCCACTAGAGCGAGCTCTAGTGGTTTTCTCGTCCACGCTGACAAGGGAGGGTATACCCACACTTCACCCCACCACACGCAACCTGCCGATCGACTGCGGGTGAATCCATTCATACTGCTCGCTGGACAGAGGCTGGGAAATGTAAGAAGCTTGCGAATTACTTCAGCCGCTACGCCAGCCGAGATCGAATTAAATCAGCGACCTCTGGGTTGCAGGTTCCTCTCTGCTGATCATCCCGCCACGCGCCCCATCTTCCCTTGCGAGTCCTCGCTTAACGCGGTTTTTTCGCTTAACGCGGGTCTTTTCAGGAACGCATCTACCGCGTTAAACGAGGACTTACTATGCTAATGGTTTTACATGTGTTTCATATATCGTAGAAGTAATTAACTGTCCAAATCGATATTAGTTTCAAGCTCGCGGTTCTACAACCTCTTCCTCGCTACACCAAAGAAGCAGACTCAGATAGATAATATAAATGTATTCTGGAGGAACCCGATGAGCTATGAGGCTCTTTTTTTCACAGATGTCCAGTAGAGCAGGAGACACTGACCACTGCCGGGCGTCGTCTCGACCGCGGCAGCCGCCGCCGTCTGGAACGCGGCCACCGCCACCGTTCCCACTGCTGCTGCAGCATTCACAGCAGCAGCAACCGCGTTCGGTCTACAGCGGCTGTTCAGAGACACGTTACAAAAACAAAAACCCCACCACCGCTTTCTTAAAGGACCCGCGTCTTTCTTAAATTCCCAAAACTCTTTCTTAAAGGCCCCACGTATTTTTTTTGTTATGCCCCACCTCTTTCTTAAATTGACCACCTTTTTCTTAAATACCCCCCCCCACCTCTTTCTTAAATTCCCAAACCTCTTCCTTAAAGGCCCAACTCTTTATGATATTCTCCACCTCTTTCTTAAAGGCCCAGCCGCTTCATTAAATTCCTCAGCTTTTTGTTAAAGGGCCTCCCTCGTTCTTAAAGGCTCCATCTATTTTTGTATTTATTCCAACCTCTTTCATCAATTCCCCACCTCTTTCTTCAAGGACCCACCAATTTTTGTTTTTAAAATTATCCAACTCTTTCTTAAATGGACGGTTCTTGTGTTTTTTTTTAAACATCCACCTCTTTATTAAAGGGCCACCTCTCTCGCTGGGCTTTGTGAACAGCACTGAGCGTGACTCCGCGCCTCAAAGTCGCGGCCAATTAGCGTCCAGTGAGTGATTTGTGCGCCGAGTTATCACGATAGCACGGTTGGTTACGTACGGTGCGAAAGAAGTTCAACATACATACATCACCATCCTTATTATTATTATTCCAACGTGTTTTTAATTCATAAAACAGGTTTTTTTTTTTTGGGGGGGGGGGGGGGGGTTAGATCGTATAAATATATAAATGTGTCGTAAAACCCACCACCACCCGACACAGCCAATTAGTAAAGTTTGTCACGTCAACAAAGCGTGTCAATTCGTCACTAGTACAGCACACCGGTGTGTTGGAGAGCAAGGCCACAACATTTACAATCTGAGTACGACGTTTCGCCAGTAATTACAACTAGCTTCATCAGGCGACAGCCAGATTTGTGGATGAATCCTCCTGTTTCGTTCCTTAACTGGAGGTGTAGGTGTGATGACGTCAGTTGCGAGCCCTTCTTTGTGCGAAGGGGGGTTGGGCGTTAATGAATGCGTATAAATGACAACGGTGTTTTAAATGATCGTGCACCCAGCGTGCTACGCAGCGAGCAAAACGATTTTCTGGATGGTAAACTAAATAAATCCAAACCGTGCGTTACGGAAGTTCGCTGCTGAAGTTTTGCCTCATGTGTGCGCGTGTGTGTGTGGGCGTGTGTGTATGCGTGTGCGTGTGTGCGTGTGTCCGCGTGTGTGTGTGTGCGTGTGTGTGTGTGGGCGTGTGTGCGTGTGTGTGGGCGTGCGTGTGTGTGTGTGCGTGTGTGTGTGGGCGTGTGTGTGTGTGTGTGCGTCGTGTAGCGGCTAACGCGCTGCGCTACAAACCTGGCGTCCCGGGTTCGATTCCCGTTCACGGCCAACACCACCAGTGACGATTATCTGAACCGGGCCTGGGCCTCCCCGAGGTCGACTCAGCCTCAAATGGCTACCTGGTGCGATGTGTCGACACCGCCACTGGGGGAGACAAAGGCGGCCGGGCGTGGTGCTGGCCACCCACCCCCTCGTGTGCCGTGCCGGCCCTTCGTAGGTGCTCGCTAACAGCACTTGCCCCAACAGTCTGTTGAAGGCTACACGGGGGATCTTTGTTGTGTTTTTTTTTTTGCGTGCGCGTGCTGAGCGCCGTCGGTGGTGCCGGGTGAAGCGGAAGCGCCGCCGCATCGGCAGCGCGAGCGGCCTCGTGGCGAGGCGCTGACGCAGAGTTCGCGAGCACCCCAGGGTGGAGGCATGGGGCAGAGGAGGAGGTGGTGGTGGTGGTGGGGGAGTGGGGACGAAGTTGACAGCGCCGTACGGCAGGTGACAGGCGAACAGCGCCAGCCCCCACGGGTGGGGGGGGGAGCTGTGGGGGAGTGGGAGATGTCACCACAAATGAGATCTCCTTGCTCCTTCAACTCATTTAAAATATCTCGAAGGAGGCCGTCCAAGAAGCCGGCCCTCTCGTTCGCTAAAGCGCGGGCAGTCACACTATCAGGATGCTCGCTCCGGTTTTTTTTTTTTCCCCTGCAGCGTGCAGG